ATGGCATCTTTGCAACTATTCATCTCACTGTCCTTGCTCCTATTGGAGAAGGTACTGGTGACCCCTAAATTCTGCCTTTTTCACTCCTTCTGTGTGTTTGTATCAGGAGTACCATGTACAGTTTGCAGGGTTCAGATCACTGATGGCAATAAATGGGAGCAATATGTGTTCTTGGCAAATAAGTAGAAGGTGGTGACATTTTGGCAACGTGTCCAGTCATCCAGCCAAGGAACAACCATAAAACCAATTGCTTTCACCATGTTGTCCACACCCTTGGGTAATTCAAACATCCTTGGGTTCCTGGAAACTCCCACTGATAACAATTCAGACTTGATTTTTCACAAAGTGATAGGAATGCCAAGTGAAAGTAATGTCACCGAGGCATGAAGCTAAGTAGGCAGTTAGGAGGCAGGTCCTGGAAAGAGGCAAGGGAGATGATATGGGTGCATGGAGACACCAGGGGTGCAAAGAAGCTTCCATTTCATGAAGATCCCAGGTACCTGGAAGGAGATGAGAAGGCAAGAGACACTTGGAGGAGGGTGGTAATCTCTTAAATTGTGGTATAGCCTCAATCATATCTAATACAGGGTATGTAGAACATAGGAAACAGTCATGATAGAGATTCAGAAGACCAAATAATCAGGTGTTGGGAGTGGCCATGAGAGGATGGAGGTCTTCTGGTTTGGGGGTCAGGAGTAAATACATTCAGTTAAAGAACATCAAAATATAGATGCTGCGTCTAAACAGCTTCACACTCTGGTCCCTGTTGTATGAATCTTAAATGGTCTTTTAATAAAAACCTGGAACCAGATATTAGGGTGAATACTGAAAGATCAGAGAGACAAAAGAACAAGCCACAGCCACCTCTTACCTTTAGGACTCTTCAGCCCGAAAAAAGCCTCAGCTGATAGGCCTCTAGCCGAATAGGCTTCTTCAGCCAAAAAAGCTTCAGTTCCTGTCTCTTTATAATTAATATACCTTTCTCTGCCCAACCATCATTTTCTTTCTAGTGCTGTGATTAAAGACGTGTGCTTCCCAAATACTGGGATTAAAGGTGTGTGCCACCACTACCTGGCTCTGTTTCTCTCCTAGACTGAGTCAATCTCATGTAGTCCAGGGCGTCTTTGAACTCACAGAGATCTGGCTGAATCTCTGTCTTCCAAGTGCTAGGATTAACGATGTGTGCCACCACTGCCTGGCAGCTATGTTTAATCTAGTGGCTTGTTCTGTTCTCTGATCTTCAGGAAAATTTTATTAGGGTATACAATATATCACCACATTTCCCCTTTTTTTGTCTAATAAAAGAAGGTTATAATTAATATAAGAACTATATACAATAAATATTTACAATATATATAGTCAAGAATTACATTAACAATGTCTAGTCCATTAACATTTGACAGACTCAGAGAAAACACTCCATTATTTATCTTATTTTGTTGAGTCCAAAGTTTGTGCCTAATTCATTTCTATCCTAACTTGTATTACCAACCGGAAACTATCATTTGACATCTTTCAAACTTATACACTTTACACTTCTTTAGTGAGTTTCTTTTCTGAATTTGTTAACAAGGAAATGTACAACTATCCAATTTTCAACTCTCTCAGAGACCCAAGAAGGAAATAATATTAATTGAGTACGCGACTTCCAAAAAATATGAGAAATGACAGAAACTGATGGCTGCCTCACCCAAGGTTCTTCTGCAACATTGGGGCATCTATCTTTAGCCTATAGGCCTAGCATATCTGACAGACTCATCTGGGAAGCAGAATTTTCTAAAGGGTCTTCCTACCTTGTCTTGGTAGGTTCAGCAGTCCTTTCTTTTGTGTCCTGCTTCTCCATTTGGACAGCATACTGTCAGCAGTCGAGGCAAGGGCATTTTCTTGCCCAGTAGCTAACTTGCTACAAAGAAAGCAAACTCCATATGGGGGTTCTTTGGTGCCCATCATCTTCTCTGAAGTAGATTGGTGCTGCCAGGAGCAGACATGTGTCACTGTTTTAAAAAAAGAATCTATGTTATTAAAACATCTTAAATGCCATATTCTGTAGATCTCTGAAGTGTTTGAAGATGACCTGTTTATCTAAAACATATCTCTGTTTGACATTAAAAATGTACCTAACCTGACAAGTTCCCTTGTAATAGGTTGACTACTAATCTGCATTTCTTTATATCCTAATTAGTTGGTAATAATAACTTTCAAGGACTAGAAATTTGTCTTACATTGTTAAATGAACTGTATAGGTATAATACTTTGAACAAGATTAGAAATATATGTACAGTATTTTCTAACAAAATCAATCTCAAATTTGTATCAATATACATAGTTTGTATACAATATACTAACATCCAGTGTAAAATATTTAAAACAAGTAGCTGCTTTTTAGACATTTATTTATTTATTTTTATTTTATAATTTAATTTCATTTTACATATCAGCCACTGGATTCCCCTGTCCTCCCCCTTTCCCCGCCACCTTCCCCCAGCCCACTCCCTATTCCCATCTTCTCCAGGGCAAAGACTCTCCTGGAAATTCAGCTCAACCTGGTAGATTCAGTCCAGGCAGGTCCAGTCCCCTCCTCCCAGGCTGAAGTGTCTCAGCATAGGCCTCAGGTTCCAAACAGCCAGCTCGTGCACTAAGGACAGGTCCCGGACAAGTAGTTGCTTTTTTAAAGGTAGATTCAATAATGTACCTTTTATCTTATATCTATATTCCTGTTTTTTCTTTTCAAAGTAGATTCAATAATCTACCATTTTATTCTACATCTGTATCTTTTTTTCTTCAGACTAGATTCAATAATGTACTCTTTTATCCCATCAATTCTATATAATACATTTCTATATTATATCACCCTTTCTTCTTTTAGAAATAGATTGACTATGACCAATAACAATTTTAACCAACCCCTAAAAAAGACAAACATCCATAATCCATTTTTTTGGGAATGTGGACATAGGTTTTTAGGCTACTTCCTGCTGATTGGGAGTGTTGGTAGTCTTATGGGGACACAAAGAAAATTCAGGATTATGGTCAAATCCTGACTGGAGTAGTCTGTGAGTCTGTATCCTCTTAGCTAGGCATCTCGATATTGTCCTGAGCAGTTTGTAGTCCAAAGCTCATCTTTGGGTGGTGATTGTCAACTTAATGGTATTATCATAGTCCTGATGGAATCATTGTTGTGGGGCCCCATCATCTTTTTGGAGACTTCAAAGTTGCTGTTAGGCATGGTCATGATTCCCTGCAGAAAACTGATAGAGACTCAAACCTGAAATCATGTATAGGAAACTAGATAAAACCTTTTTTCTGAATTAGTTAGTACTTTATATGACCATTAATATCATGATAAAAGTTTTATATATATATATATATATATATATATATATATATACATATCTAATAAATTTTGATATAAAATACTTACCTTAAGAAAAGTTTTAAAGAGTCAAAATAAAAACAAAGGATCATTAGATTAATAGCAATAGAATAGTCCCTTAATTTTGGTTTTTCTTCTGTTCCATATCAGGTGGCTCTTCTGACATGATACAGAGATTTTTGCATTTTCTTTTAACAAGCATGCTTGGGTTTAAATAAAGAAAGAGCCACACTCTAATTCCAAAGCTTTAATTTTTAATTGAACTGGGACTACATAAAGACCATTTGGGTTATAAGTCTGTAAAGAACATTTAGGAAGACTTATGAAATTTTATCCTGTTAGATATATGATATACCAATAGGCCAATTTACTTTTTTTCTTGGGACATTTCTTTTTTTCTGGATGATTTGTCCTTTTTCTTCAGATGTCTCATTTGTCCAGTGTTCTTCAGATTCCTTAACTTTTATTCTCCTGAAAGAAAAAAACAAAACCCTTCCCCAACCTTAACTTTGGGGAGGTTCTCTTTTGGCAAGTTATATCTGATCAAATGAACAGCATTTGTTAGTGGTATAAATTAATTTAAATTGGATGGTCATGCTGGTTGATGAACTATCACCTCTTCTAATTAAGAGGTCTCTCTTGTTCAAATCTAACCTTTATCAATTATGATGGTATCCACAGCTTTTCTTCTTCTGTGGAAACAAAAGGAAAACCTCATCTCCCACATAACACACATGCTGGTTTCCATTCTGAGGTCAGCACATCCTTAAAGTATATAGGGTGATTTAATTCTGTAGTTTTTCCCTATTATCCAATGTCTCTCTGCAGCTATTGTTCCTTTCTTATTATCCATGAGAAAATTCAAAGTTAATAAAGCATTATGCAATATGTTTCTGGGGGGTATTTTAGCCCCTTTTTATTTGTTTAGCATATCCTTTAGAGTTTGATTTGATTTTTCCATGACTGCTTGGCCTGTAGGATTATGTGGTATATCTGTAATATGCTTTATATTGTAATAAGCAAAAAACTGTTTCATTTTACCAGAGCATTGTCAGTTTTAATTTGTATAGGTATACCCATGATGGCCATAACTTCTAGCAAATGTGTGATTACAGAATCTGCCTTTTCGGAACTCAGAGCAGTTGCCCATTGAAATTTTGAATAGGTGTCAACCATGTGGTGTAAATATTTCAGTTTTCCAAGTTCTGCAAAATGAAACACAACTATCTGCGAGATTTCATTCCTTTCATTACCCTTTAGGTTACATCCTGCTGGTAGTGGAGTTTGTATAAAGAACAAGTAGGATGTTTCCTTATAATTTCCTTGGCTTGTTGCCAGGTTATGAAAAAATCCCTTTTTAAGCCCTTAGTATTGACATGATTTTTTAAATGAAATTCTGAGGCCTCCAGCACATTTCCTATAAATAGTTGATCAATCTCATCATTACCTTGTGCTAGAGGTCCTGGCAGACCCGTGTGGGATCAGATGTGAATTATATATAAGGGATGATTCCTATTCCTGATTATTTCTTGTAACTAAATTAATAACAAAGTATCAAGTCAGAGGTTAGCCTCTTTTTATGTCAAAAGTATTCTCATTGGGTTGGTTTGGGTTTTGTATTTTGAAGCTCCAGAAATGTCGTTGGTGTGTGTGGCAGACTTTAAGGCACGTGCACAAGAGCTGCTATCTAAGTCATCGTGGGACTTTATTGAAGGAGAAGCTGATGAGGGCATCACATACAAGGAAAACATCGCAGCGTTTAAAAGGTCTTCTCTTTATCCTTTGCATTGTTACTCTAATGTGCATTGCTTGAGAATCCTTAGACGGGGAAGTTGTGGTGTCTGTCTTTAGCGAACACAACATACACAGGAAAATGGCTGGCTTCTGTGCTGGTTTATCATGGCGTGGGGGACGAGGCATAGGGAGCTGGGGAGAAGTTTTGTAGAGAGAATCTTCTTAGATCTAGGGGAAGTGGCTAATCAGTTCTCTGTATGCTGGCAACTTTGTAAGCAAGTGAAGATGGAACAGGACCAGCCAGGTGTCTGACAGAGAATCCTGGATGTAGATCTGGAGCTCTTGGGCTCCTAAAACCTTGACCTTAGAGGAGAAAAATGTGATGGAGGGCAAAGGACTCAAGTTTGGAGAAAATAAGATCCAAGGGTTTTTAGGGTGAGAGCTGGACTTGAACACTAAGGGCTGGAGCATATGTCAACCAACAACAGCTATAGCCAAGCTTCTATCTGTCATCGAATAATGTTTTTTATGTCATTTGTGGACTCCCCTACCTTCCCTACAGCAGTGTATAAATCAAACGAATCAATCTTCTGGGGTAGTCAGGGGAGGAGTGGGGGGCATGATTGTTTTCTTAGGATTTGCATCCTTTTAATTGCCTTGTCTTTCGTTCTGGGGACACCTAAAATTCCTTTCTTGCTTTTCTTTCCCTGTCTAGTCATTGCTGATAAAGACTAAATTAAGCATCTAAACACTGGGTGGCAAGCCACAGGAGCAGTGCTCTGACAGAGAAACACAGAGGCTGGGGGGACTCTGGTTCCCCAACCGCTCAGGAGTTGCTGGGTTCATGTGGGGAAATGGTTTCCTGGCGATTAGCCTCCCCCCTGAGCCTACACTGCTTACTCAAGGTCAACTAACTAATCCCAGCAAGGGCTCAGAGATCTAAGTCTGCTCAGATCCTCATTGGGAACCAGGGTCCCAGCTGCAGAAAGCATCATCATGCTAGAGAATAATCCACCTTATTGTCTAGTGCAGAATCCGCCTCCGCCCCAGATACCTGAGAGATGTGTCAGAGGTGGACACCAGAACCACAATCCAAGGGCGGGAGATCTCGGCCCCCATTTGCATCTCACCCACGGCTTTGCACTCTATTGCCTGGCCAGATGGAGAGAGGAGCACAGCCAGAGGTATGAACCATCCCTTTCCAGAAGGCCAGAAGTGAGTGAGAGGCTTCACCCTGAGTAGGGGCAGTGGGCGTGTCGTGTTTTTTTAGAGAGGGGTTTTGGGGGGTCTCTCTTGTTTTGGTTTTGAGTGTTGTGGCAGCTTGGGGGTGCGTTTGTTCCTATCTTTTGTGCGGGCGCTTGGGGGGGATCTGTGTGTGTTCCTGTGTGGGTTGGTGTACAGCGTTGTTTGTAGGGTGGTGTCGGGTATGGCCAGAGGTTGTGTCTTAAACCCTATCTTGAAAAGATAGTTAAGGGATTGCTTGTTTATTGTTTTGTTTGCTTTGGATTTTGTTTGTACTGTTACATTTCTTGGCCTTGCTTTTTTGTTTGGTTAGGTTCTCTTGTCTGTCCGCTCCTTTGTGTGCTTAGTGTGCTTGGGCTGCTGTGGAGTGATTGAGGTGGTGAATGCAGGATATTAGTTTTAGTGCTTTGATAGCCTGTTCTACCTTTTTCCCTTTTTCACTTGATGAATTGATGAAGTCATACAGGGACGTAGGGGTGGGGGTGTGTGATTTTGTCTTCTTTTGTTCTTTTATTTTCATGTTCCTGTTTTTGGCTCGTGATTTTTCCTTTGTCTATCTCCTGTCTCTTCCTCCCCGGTCTTCCTCGGGGGTTTTCTTTGGTGTTTTGCTTTTCTGCGTGACGGGTTTGCCTCTCTGGGTGTTCTGTCTGGTGTTTTGTTAGCATCTCTTGTTCGTCAATCTTCGTTTTCCAGAGCAGGTTTTGCAGAGCAGCTTACACACGGACTAGGACTCTCTCTTTGAGCCTCTCTCTTGACCCTGTCTTTTGTGGTGGTCTGTTGGGCTTTGGCTTTCTTTTGGCTTTTTTGTCCACTTGGTGGGCGGCTTGTTCAGAGGCTTCTTCCTTCCACTCTGGCTTCCACCTTGTGTTTTGCCGTTTGTTTTGCAGCTGCTGTGTGCTCCATTATCTGCTTTTTTGCCAGCTGTTCCGTGGGCTGTATTGTTGCTGCTGTTGTTGGTGGTTTCCGCTGGTTCTTGCTCTGTTTGCAATTCTATTTGGAGTTCGATTGGGAGCTGATTCGGCGGGTGGTTGGGTTGGTTTTCGCCTTTTTTTTGGTCGCTTTGGTTGTCCCTGTAGTTGGCCCAATGGTTGGCATTTTGCGACGGGATCTGAGTTTCGAGGTGATTTTGGAGGCCCTCCTTCCACTTGCGGAGGTGCGATCGCTTTCAGAGTTGAGGGGGATTTCTTATTCGAAGGGTTTTGCTTGTGGGGAGAGTTTTGTTTTGGGTGCGTCTTTTCTTTTGCTTCCCTCTTTCCTTCTTCTTCCCTCTTTCCTTCCTTCCCTTTCTCTCTCTTTCTTTCTTTCTTTCTTTTTTTTTTTTTTTCTTTTTTTTTTTCTTTCTTGCTTTCTTTTTTCCTTCCTGCCTTGTTGTGGCAGATACTAGAAGGATAGCAGTTAAAGTGGCTGACCTGGTTTCAGCTGCCCAGTTCTTCCAGGCAGAACTTAAGACCAAATGCTCCCATCTCTGAAGCTGCTCTGCCTGTCATCAGAGATGCTCAACCAAGGTTGATGTTGGGAGACAGGAGAGCATTAGAGAGGAGCTGTGCAGGAACTGGAGAGTAAACTATTCATCTAATAATTTTCATTTCATGATGGACTCAGGAAGTGATTATTTTGCATGGAATAGATAGACAAACTGACTCTCAGAAGAGGACACTCACAGCACAGGTGTATAGCTAGCTAGTCCAGCCAGCTGGGGCCCCAATCTGCTGCCTTGAAAACTTAAAAACTCCTCCAGAAACATCAAGGCTCCGCAGCACATCTTTTGGAAACCATTCAATTAAGGGACTACAAAGGACACTTCCTTCATTAAATTCTAAGTATGGAAAGAGATGTCATGCCCTTGAGAGTGAAAATCATGGTTATAGTGACATTGGCCTTTTCAGTTCATGGGCAGCTATGATTTTTCTGGGTGTTCTTGAACCAGGAGACATATCAAAATTTAAGGAAATCTGCTGCATATGGTGAGGCAGGGCTTTTTTAAGGTTCTTATTGCTTTGGTTATATTAGTCCATGCATAGCTCAACCATAAAATGTCAAAGTGGCTGGACAGTGATGGCCCATGCCTTTAATCCCCAGCACTCTAGAGGCAGAAGCCTTCCTCAAACTATTCAGAGATCTAAGTCTGTTCAGACCCTCATTGGGAACCAGGGTCCCAGCCTGGTCTACAAAGAAAGTTCCAGGACAGCCAGAGCTGTTACATGAGGAAGAAGAAGGAGAAAAAGAGAGAGAGAGAGAAAAGAAAAAAGAAAAAAAATGTCAAACTGACTCATAACTATTTTTCTTCCTCATCTCACATACTGAACTCTGAAGCCCTTTAAAACATAGATTTATCTTATCTGTCTTTTTGTCTCCAAATCCTAGAGTAATTATCAATCAAAGACAGTGATTAATGGTCATTGAAAAAGTCATTGAAGTAGAAATTCTTTATAAAGCTTTTGTGAGAGGAAGGAGTTAGAACAAGTGTTGGGTAGTGTTGCTCAGTTTTCATAGCTTATAAATATTAGTGCTTCAAGTTTGTGTCATCTTTTGAGTAAATCAAGTGATGTGAGAATTTGGGACTAACATTCACCTTCTCATTCCCTACAGAGAAATTCCACACATTTGCCAAGTACAACTTTCTGCTGGAATGATCTCTCCTTGCTTCAGAGTATGACTCAGTTGCCCATTATCCTCAAAGGGATTTTGACGAAAGAGGATGCAGAATTAGCAGTGAAACACAATGTCCAAGGCATCCTTGTTTCCAACCATGGTGGTAGGCAGCTTGATGAGGTTCCTGCTTCAGTAAGTAGGACTACTACAGAGGGATGTTTCTAAATGCTCTATGGATGTCTACACCAAAGCCCTCTCCTAAATCTCACTTATCATGGGTATTACCTATTGATTTTAAGGAAGGTTAATTACTAAAAATACATTGTCCTCTCACTTATCATGGGTATTACCTATTGATTTTAAGGAAGGTTAATTACTAAAAATACATTATAAACCTGACTATTTTTGTGAACTGTATGTGTAACATATCTAAACCTTGTGAGACTGCTGAAAAACAGATACATCCTTATTGTACAGTTAGGATACTGGAGTCTAGAGACATCAACTAATGTGTACAAGTTCACAATAGATAATGAGGTAGACTAAGGGAGATGTTCAAAGGCATTGAGGACCCTGTCTTCAGTCAGCAGTGACCAGATTAAAGCTGATGTGTCTTCATGGATTTTTAGAAACCAAGATATCCTATCTGACACAATGCAGGGAGGAACAGCACCTCATGTGGACACACAAGTGTTTTTTAAAATGGATCTGAAATACCCTGGTTCACTAGTGCATAGAACACTGATGAATCATTTATTAAGAGCTACACTAGCTCACACTAGCTCACAAACGTGTGTCCATTCTGCACATTTTTTTTTTTGTGAGAAAGAAAATGAGCAAAGGGAAGTAGGGAAAATCTTTAAATGGGAATTGGTTGTTAATTTGTCTTCATAGATGTGTTTATGCTATATTTTCCCAAAAAGCTATTCTATTTTAACAAACAGAAGTGAACCTTTTTCCTCCTTAGTTCCTTTTGCCTCATAAAATATCCCTGAACAAAAATAAATGATTAAAAAACACCCCCAATTTTTATCACAATCATTGGTGGGTTGTTATTGGTACTTATTATTACAAATAAATCTTTTTTCTTGTTTTAAAAAATATACAATCATTAATATGTTTCACAGTTTCCTTCTTTTCAGTTACCCAATGTATTAGGCACATACTTTCATTATTTATAAGTCTCTCTTCTTTTTAATGATGTGTCACGAATGGGCAAGTTATATAATCAATCCCTTATTGTTGAACATCTGCATTGATTCCAGTATTTCTCTACTGTGTGTCTTTTTGTTTGTTTGGTTGGTTTTTTTAGACAAGGTCACACCGTGTAGCCCATCCTAGCTTTGGATCCTCAGTCTTCCCATCTCTGATCCCCGAGAGTGGCAATTACAGGTGTGCGCCACTATGTCTGACTTATTTTTTTAAACTATTTTAAACAATGTATCAGTGACCATCTGTAAAACTAAAACATGTGTCTTTGATTAATTCTTTAAAAGACGTATTCCAAGAAGCAGAAATTCCAAAGCTGCTCTAGCTGTGTTCTGAGGCTGTGGAGCTGAGTGATTTCAGGCACCTGCCATTCCTTCTCTACCAGGCCCTCGCTGGTGAGAACAGTGGAATGGCAGACCTGTGTGGAGAAAAGGCTCGCTGGGCTGAGTCTCTCAGGGAAAGCTGGATTGAGAGGGAGAGTCGTGGGTGCCTCTCAACACAGAAGAGAACATGGGACTGGAAAGGGGCCCTGGCTTTTCAGGGATCTGGCGAACAAATCTGGCTCACTGTCTGAGTTACTAGGACTTCATTGTTAATAATGGCTTTTGTATCTGCTTTTTTCCATTTCTTCTTATATATTTACTTTCAATGAGCAAAAAGTTTGATGCAACTAAAAAACAAAACCTCAGTGGAGATTGTCTCAAGATAACACTCCTCTCTCTGAGCAGTGACTCAAACCAGAGTGTTGAACCAACAAGGAAACCAGGTTAAGGACCAGAATGCAGCTTTGGACTTTAACCTTACCAACAATTCTGTCTCATCGTTAAGCCTAAACAAGGCCCCTCATAATTGCATCTGCAAAAGAAAATCCTTAACAGGGATGAGTAAGCCTGTTCTGTGAGTTTCCATAGAAAACAGTCTTTGTGCTTCTTCTTGGAATCAAGAGATAGCATTTTCAGAGAACTTTAGTAAATGTCCTGTTCTGACTCATTAAAAATGGGCCATTCTGCACCTTAGGCTGAAATCAATTTCTACTTTTATTATTTCATGTATTTGCTTTTAAATTTAGTTTTTACATTTATTTATTTATTTAATTAATTAATTTATTTATTTATTTGGTGTGTGTGTGTGTGTGTGTGTGTGTGTGTGTGTGTGCATGCTCACTTGTGTCTATATATGAATGTGTGCATGTTCATCTGTGTTTATGTGTATGGATGGGTGCAGCAAATGCCTTCACCTGATGAAAGATCTCACAGGTCCTATTTTTGGTTCTTCTGAGAGTCTTATGTAGCCCAGGCTGACCCTGAACTCCTGGATTTCCTCACCTCTGCTTTCCAAGTGCTGGGTTTATAGACACTACCACTCTTGGCTTCTGCATTCTATTTCTAAATTATGATCAACTGCAGTACCGAGTATGACTAGAGGAGTTTTTATAAATATACTTATTTCCTTTTTCACAGCATCATAAAAATATTCCAAATAATACTTGGGCATGAGTTTTTCTCCAGTTATTATATAAATCTGAAATACATCCAGTACTCCATACATACATCAAAGGACAAAGTTATTTCCTCCTTTTTTTAAAAAAATGATTACTCTGCTCAGACTCAGGCAGCTTTCTGATGGGTTCCTTCCACAGTGTCAGGGCCTGGGGCCTCTGTTTCAATGCCTCTCCTTGGCTTCCTTCAGAAGAATACAGATAGTAACAAAAGGCGCCCAGAACTGCCTCTTCAAGGACCTTCATCCCACACCTCAGGAGGGGCCTGCTGTCCTCCTCCTTGTCGACTTGGAGGAGCCAGGCACCTGCAGGTGCCGGATGGGGATGGGGGTGGGTAAGACCACTTAGCGTCTGTGTCTGGAACTGAGAGAAACCGGGACAAAGTGACCCCGTTTTCCTTTGTCTTCCAGAGGTGTACCTTTGTCCTATGCGTTGTTGCTGCTACACTCCTATTTTTACATCTCAGATGAGGACACTGGGGACGAGTTACCCACTCATGAAGACTTAAGAAATGATGCTGCAGTTCCCCCAAACAGGCTGATGTTTAGACACTCAGGCCACGACGGGTCATATTTATTCTTCTAGAAAAGACTTAGTCCCCAAGCAGTGGGGACATCTCTCACTATGACATCTCAGAAACAGAGATGAGAGAAGGATAATGAAAGACAGCAGCTTCCGTAGTGCCAAAGTGAGCACTGTGAATGGGAAGATGTCCCCTGAATATGAAAGCAGGAGCCAAGCATATCCAACATGGAGGGGATCTTCTAAAAAGGCCGAGGCTAGACTGGAGGTGAAAGGGAAAGTAGCTGGAGGGACAGTGAGTGAGAGTCTCATCTGGTCCTCAGGAATCTCCAGGCCTCAGGGGAAGGATGCTGAGTTCCCACAACTGCAAGGACAGCTGGAGAAAATCTTGTGACAGGCTTAGCCTTTGCTTGCATTTCCCGGCCCTGTTCCTGAGCCCAAGAGAAACGAAACAGAAATACCTGAATCTAGGTGTGCATTTCTCTTTCAGATTGATGCTCTGACCGAAGTGGTGGCCGCTGTCAAAGGGAAAGTTGAAGTCTACATGGATGGTGGGGTTCGAACAGGCAATGATGTGCTGAAGGCCCTGGCCCTTGGGGCTAAGTGTGTTTTCCTTGGGAGACCGATCCTCTGGGGCCTTGCCTACAAGGTAGGGTTGCTAGCATGAGAGTCTGGACTTGGCATTCATTCCCACGGTTTTCTGTAATCCAACTTGCAATGAAGACATTTCCTAAACTTCTTGCAAAACAGTTTCAGGTCACCTCACCTTCAGGCCTCTGCTGTGTTCCACAGCCCTCCTTTTTAACTTTTTCCCCTTGTTTTTTTGTTTTGTTTTGTTTTAGTTTTTACATATTCTGCTTTCACCCATTCTATCTTCCCCGAAACAGTTCTGACTGTGCACACAGCTTTTACCCAACCCATGGTCAGAATGTTCTCTCAAAGCTCTGTCTCCCCTTTCCTACTCTTCAGGGAGAACACGGTGTCAAGGAAGTTTTAAATATTTTAAAAACAGAGCTCCACACGTCTATGGCCCTTTCAGGTATGTATTCTGTTCTTTCCCCCATTCAGAGCTTCAGGTGGCTAGTCTACAGACAGAAGCTAAAATCCTTTACCCTGGTTAACCCTGCCTTGTCTTGGCAGTTGTCCTGAAGACAGAACAGGGTAGAAATGTTCCACAAAGAGACTGAGGAGTGCTCGCTGACAGTGGACACCCTGTGCTGTTCTCAGACTCACTGTCAGAGCGGAGTTAGTTCCCTCTGGGGCTGCCTAAGGCTCCCACCCCTGGAGTGAAATTCAACCATTTCCTGCTTTTTTTAAGGAAGAGAATCTCTTGGTGGGTACAGTTTTGTGATGCATGTGTTTGGAGGTGGAGGTGGCTACATCAAGTTCAATACCACACAGCCTCTTAATAAATTCTTTCAGCCCTTTCATCACCAGGCCTTCTCACTGTCCTTTCTCACACCTCTCCAAGCCACCATGCTAGCTCTGATTTCTTTCTTTCTTTCTTTTTAATCCATATGTGGAAATTTAGCTCTAAACTCATACTACATGCCAATTAAGATCTTCTGATAATGAATGATCTTTCCTTGTCAGAAAGTTCCCTAGAAGGCTTTTGGCGTATGGGTACTTACCTTATCTGGCACAGTATCCCTGAGTTTATTCTTCCTCACAGACGAGCATATACCGCCTAAGTATACCCACCTTATCAGAACTGAGCTAATGACCAAAGACTTTTAGTGTATGCTGTTAGGTTTTTGGTGCTAAAATTGTGTGTGTGTGTGTGTGTGTGTGTGTGTGTGTGTGTGTGTGTGTTCTTACATTTTAATGTGGCTATGTGTAAACTGTGAGCAACTATGAGATTATTGATTCCCACTGCAACCAGAATTAAATATCCATTCAATATGAATAATGCTTTATCAAGGTAAGCACAAAGATTAAATGCTTGCTCCTGTCACATCATCCCATGACTATGGAGAAAGAAATAAGCTCTGAGATAAAGAGAGGAACACACACACACACACACACACACACACACACACACACACTCACGTACACAGGGTGGGTGGTGGGAATGACAGAGACAGAGACAGAGAGGATGTGCAGGAGCAGGCATGGAGGTGAAAGGACAATTCTTGAGAGTTGCTTCTTTCCATCCATTTTGTGTGACTCAAACCCAGGTCATCAGATCTGGATCCAGAGACCTCTCTTCCTGCTAAGCCCTTTCAACTGCCTAGAAGCAAGCTCATAATTATGTGGTTCTTTCAGGCTGCCGATCAGTTGCTGAGATCAGTCCAGACCTGATTCAGTTCCCCAGATTATAAAGATCTACTGAAATTGCCTGCAAGGGGAAGACACATCTTCAACACGGTGTGCAATGCTATTGCTCTTGTGCCCCATCCTATCAAATAGTTTGAGTCCTGCACCCTCAAAAACAGAGAGAAATGGAGAAAAGACAATTAACAGCTCCCACCATGGTATGTTTTTTGAAGGAATAACATCTAATGTTCTACAGAATAATTGTAGTTGATACAGTTAATTGACTATGTCAAATAGCCATGTTCCAGCAAGAAAGGAAATAGTTATGTCTCATGTGACATACCAATTAGCTTCATCGAATTATTATGTGCATTGTACATTATTGAAATGCTTTACTACACCATAAATGTGTGCAATTACTATGTATAAATTGAAACAACAATATATGTTCAAAAAGAAATGGGACAGGCTCTCCTTGATGTAGTTTTGCTCATTCCATCCTGTAAGACATTTTGGGAATTTTTAAATTTTAATCCATAGAGTCAAAGTCTGAAACATAAAACAGCAGAGATCAGATGAATGTTTGAATTATTCAAGGTTCTGACACAGAATATTACAGAAATTTTATGATCTATTGCCTAATGTCTATTCTAGAGTGTAACTGGCCTCCAAAAAAAGAAATAGCAAAAGGAAGATTTTGAAACTCATTTTCACGACTCTATAACTAGATTAAAATGAATGATTGCCGTCTTTCACCAATATGTGAAAAAGAAGACATCATTATTCTGGTATTTAGTTTTGTCAAAAATGTACACCTTTTCAATACAGTTTATAGAGTTAAAATAACTGTAAAGATTATAGTCTGAGAAAATTTCTGCTACCCAGAAGTCTCCAAGAACATGGTCTCATGCAAACTCATGCATAATAAACCAGCCTCACTCATTTCCTGGAGATCAAAGTCCATCTAGACGGCCTTTGCTCTTCTTTAACATGTTTTACAGCCCTAGACTCCTTTAATCATTCCTTAGACCAGTGTTTCTATATCACAGAATTCTGTGTCAGGCACCAGGTACTTCTATATCCCTCCATTTATATACCAATACCTTTAGTCCCACCATTCTCATCACATTAGAAACAAAATAAGAATGCCTCAGTACTGATTGCCCTCAGCGATGGTCATAGTTAGCTTCAGCTGTTAACCTGACATAGACCTAGAGTTTGGAACCCCAAATGAAGGACTCATTCAATCAGATTAGCCTGTGGCCATGTCTTGGAAGGATTTTATTAATCACTAATTAGTAGAGGGCCTGGTCTACAGTGTGCAATGTAATCCCTGGGCAGATGGGTCTTGGCTGTATTTAAAGAGCTAGCTGAGCAAGCCAGAGAGCCAAGTTCACCTTGCCCCTCTAGCTGATTCATAACTTAACTTGTCCATGCTCCCCTGCTGGATGATGGCTATGCTGGGAAATTTCTACCAGCTTCCTTGGTAATAGCCATACTTACTGTAATAACTTCAGATGACACAACAGAGATCATTTCTTCCATCTCACACTTAGCTGGAGGCTTGATTGAGTTGTAGATTTGTTTGTTTCAAGAGTGAAACAAGGCCAGGCATAGTGGTGCATGCCTTTAATCCCAGTCCTCGGGAGACAGAGGCAGGCAGATCTCTGTGAGTTCAAACCCAGCTTGGTCTACACAGAGAAACTATGTCTTGAAAACAAAAACAAACAAACAAACAATGCTCCCCCAAAAGAACAACAAGAAAAGAAAAATCCAGGGGAATATAATTTGACTAGCAGATAGTGGTATTATTTTGTCTAAAAATGTAAGTGTTCCTTGAATACATCCACTTCAGTGATAGCCCTGCCTTTTCAGATTCCTGGATTTAAAATAACAATTAAGCTACTTTTTTTTCTAGGCACCAACAGATAGTTAAAAATTCTAAAGGAAGAAACCACGGCTATTACATACGGAGAGTGCCAAATGAGTGTTCCCCATTGCTCAGGAGCATGAGCATAAGATTACACACTGATTCACAGGGTAATGATTTCATTTGAGAAAGATACAGGCTACCACACTAACTAAGCAAATTCAGAGTATCAGAGTCCTTTAATTTTGACCAGTGACCAGTGACCAGTGACCAGGCTCCTGTCTCTCTTGGCACTGAATCTCAGGGGCACAGCATCTTTCAAAGCAAACGCCACAATTACATCAACACCAGGTAAGGGTCAGAGTAAGCTTGCAACATCTTTTTAGTCAAAACATGATAGTTATTTCAAGCATAACATGAAAAATTATTTTCTACTTAAACCTGTTTTGATTATTTTAAACATTAATTACTTTGACTCATTCATCTGGACCATGGTTATCGTCACAGAAATCTCAAATGCATTGACAAGGCAGACATGACTATTGTAGGGCAGAGGGCTGAGAAGTATCTAAGCAGATACACAGTGAAGTCAGGAGAAGATGGAATCACTTCAGTCACTTCAAAAGAAATGCAATTTAAATCTCAGAAAGAAATGGTTTAAAACTTAAAATTACTCTGTATTACAATATGAGCTGATATAAAGTAGACAAAAGACATGACCAGATCCTTCACCAATGGAAGTATGAAGACAGAAAATAGGCAGGTAGAAAGATGCTCAACACCAAGCATATTAAGGGACTACAAACTGAAACAATAATAGGACACCACTGTATACCTACTGAGGTATGGAGAAGTCCAACCCCAACGAGCACCAAATGTCAGCAAGGATGTGCATTGCTGGTGAGCATATAAAACAGCACAGACAGTTTGTAAAACAGTTTGTCAGTTTGCACAAAACTAAACATCTTTGCTGGACGAACTGGCAACTGGGAGTCATGGTATTTACCCAAATATGTTTAAATCTATGTCCACATGCATAGAAAACAACAGTATGAGACTCTTCACAGGAACTCCATTCCCAGCTGCTCAAACTTGGTAACTGCCATGATGTTCTTTAGTAAGTTCATTGATAAATGTTGGTACAAGCAGATATTATTCAGTTCCCAGGACAAAAAAAGCTATCAAACCATGAAAAGACTTGGAGAACCTTAAAGGTATGTCACCAAGTGAAAGAAGGTAGTCATAAAAAGCTGCATATTGTAAAATTCTAAATGTATGACATTGTGGAAAAAGCAAAACCATAGAGACAGATGGTAAGTGCAGGTTGCCTGATGTAACAAATGCATCCTTTCAGTTCAGGATATTGGTATAAGGAGGCAGCATATAGATGGGTTGTGCAATTTTGGGAACTCTGTACTTCCGTCCAATTTTGCTCTCAAACTCAAACTGTTATTTAAAATAATCTATGTAAATATTAATTCCCACTGGAGGAATGTAGATCAGTGGTAGATCACACTTGATCATTGTGCATGCGGTTCTGGGTTCAATTCTAGCTGACAGAGGACAAAATAGGTAATGTATTTGATACACAGTAAAAGACAATAAATACTAAATGTATAAGGGTTCTTATGTCAAGATTCTTATGGGCAAGATGGGTCATATGCCTCTTGATCATCTTAAAAATATTTGATTTTTTTATATGTGTATGTGTGAGTGATGGTATGCATGATGTGCACCACATGTGTATGTGTGCTGTCTCCAGATGCCAGGAAGGGTGTTGGAACCCCTAGATCTGAAGTTACAGACAGTTGTGAGCTACCATGTGGGTGTTAGGGACTGAACGCAAATCCTCTGTACAAGCAATAAGTGTTCTTAGACACAGAGCTACCCCTTCAGTTCCTCTTGGCTTGATCTTAACAATCCATTCCTTACATTTTTAGAGCGGACTCATTGGGTCAAGTGGGTGAATATTTAAATTATTTTTGTCAGAGACTAACTTGCTTCAATTTACAGTTTTACAAACAGGACAGTTGTCTTCTTTTATCTTCTCCAACACCTAATGACTACAACTGTTTAAATATTTGTAAAACTAGCTGTGGTTCCTGAGAACTTAATTTGAACTAGATTTATTGAAGGCTTAATGTACTTTATAACTCAGAAGAATTCTCCAAGAAGGGAAGGTAAATGCTGGGAGACCTGACAATTTACCTTCTTCTTTTCAAAGGAGTGGAATTACAAGAATCAGGATATTGACATAAAGTGATCGTGTGTGTGTGTGTGTGTGTGTGTGTGTGTGTGTTTCCTTTAAATTTCTTGTGAGTTCCCATTCAAGATTATAAATAATTGCTTAATGGTAAGAATATTAAACAAATCACCTAAATTTTCAACAATAAGGAAAAAGTTGTTACTTGTAGTGTATTTACATGATTGAATGTCACAAAAGCATGTTTTCAAAGGAAACCAATGCCACTTGTTTTTGTTTTTTAAGACAGGGTTTCTGTGTGTAGACCTGGCTGGCCTAGAACTCACAGAGATCCACCTGCCTCTGTTTTCAGAGTGCTAGGATTAAAGGCATGTGCCATCATTGCCCAATGAGAAACCACTTTTGTGTATAGTCAGGTGCCACAAACAGGATGTAACACTATATCTGCCATTATCTCAATGGCACATAGGCACACAAATGCAAATGCACACATACAAGTCCACAAAATCACCCAGGAGGTAAGAGGCACATCCATGTGTGAGCAATGCTATCTTGCAACAAGAATTTGCTTTTACTTTTCTTCTTTGTGTTTTCCTCATTTCTAAAGTGTTCTCAATAACAAGAACAAAGTACTGAAATATGCCACATCCTGGGTAAATCTTAAAAATTATACTAAACAAAAGAAGTTGGCAAAATAATCAAATATTGTGTAAATCCCTTTCTATGAAATGTCCAAACAGACAAAACTATAGAGACATTTGCCCAGAGTTAGAAATGGAAATGGAGAGCAAGTAGCAACTACTAATGGGTATGTGGCTTTTTCATGGGTGAGAAATATTCTAATTTATAGAGTATTGGTAGTTCTACAACAGTAGATATTAAAAAAAAATCCTTAGAAATTTGTACTTTAATTGTGATCTATTTGATACATAAATTTTGTACATAAAGTAGCCTAAAGAAAACTACAATATAAGCCTTGTAAACAATATTCTGCCAAAATATTCTTGAAAGACTTTGTTTCATATTTAAATTTTTAATTGT